TGAATACCCCTTGTAATACTGAAGAGAAATTTGGCATAAGTTGCTATTGTACAAGCCTGTTCACCAGTCACAGGGAAAAGAAGGAAAGTAACCAAAATGCTGGAGTCAGAAAATTCGAAGAGACAAGTAATTTAAATCCATGACTTTTTACTGTTGTCTCTGTTTCGTTTTTCTTAGTTCTCCCTTAAATTAGTGGTATTTTCACAGTCACCACAGAAAATAGCTCACTCCTTCAGTAGTATTTCTGGGATTCACAGTTTCACTACCCAGATATTGGCTGCATCTATGTATTTAAGATAGTTTAGTGGGATGGGAAAAAAGGCAGTTTCATTTGCATAGCAAAGATCTCATCTATCTATATTCAAACCTTTCATGTGGCTGTAAGAGCAGCCATAACAGACTGCATCACCCAAAGAACCTTTTTCATGAGGATTCTCCACTGGCTGGAGCTGGATGAGTCCATCCCAGTGCAAGCTGATAAACATTTGTGCATTTGAGTGCATTTGATCTTTTGCTAAATTTCAGTGGACAAATATGATAACTGAAAATGCCACTCTAGAGCTGAAATCAGTGCTTTTACTTTAATTTTCTAAGTAATTATCAGTTTCTGGAAGGTCTGCTTCTTGCTGTGTGAAACTTTTTTTTTTTTTTTTTTTTTCACATGTATTGCAGAAATGGCAGAAGTGGATTGGCTATGTATGGTAGCAGAGCTCTCCTGTCTTCAGATGACTCAGGCCAGTTTGAGAAGGATAAGAATGTGTCCCGTCCATCTGCCATTTAAATTTCGGAGAAATTCAGTATGTGCATTTTTGTATGAGTTAATGCACACTGAAGAAAAGTCAGGCAAAATTCCAAGAAACAAATCAGTTCAAAATTGAAAATGAATAGAACATAACTCTGAACTCCACTATGAAGGAATCCCGTCTTCAGATATCTGGGTTATTTTTCATAGCTATTTACTTGAGAATCAAAAACTGTATGCAGATTTGCAAAAAGCAAATGTAGAAAAAAAAAGTTCAGCAACCAATGAATCGTGTGCAGGCATTCAGTCTAAAAAAGGCAACTCCACAAGGAGCCACTAGAGTATAAGAAATTTCACTTATTTGTAAATTCATGAGAAATATAGTTAGTCAAATCCAGGCAATGAATTATGAATGGTTTTCAGCAAAGGGGAGAAATTGTACATACCGTACAGCTGACAAAAAAACATTTTGGCATCCAAATACTGAGCAAAATACTGAATATAAAATAAACAGTAACTGGCAATATGAAAACATTTGTCTATCTCAAAGCTGCCAATCTAGTGGCAAAATATACATTTTGAGGATGTTGTCCTTTTTTTTTTTTTTTTTTTTTTTTTTTACATAAAGAATGAAATGCTGGTGGCAGGAATTATGTCATCTATCCGTATCTGGTATTTTTCAGTTGCCTCACCATGTTTTTGTTATTATGATCTGTTTTTCTAAACTGCTATTTTGAAAGAGAAAAACCTGCCATTAGCTACACGTTTTGAGTACCTAAAAATCAGCTATTATATTAGATAAAATAGCACAAAAGAGCTGGCAACACGATGTGCTAAAGGTCAAACTCTGTATTTCTAGCTACTCCTACTTTAGCAAGTCCTAGAGCTGAGATAGGGATCTGGGTCTTGCACCATTCAGCTCTGATCCCTGGGCACTGCTGGGCCACTCCCTTTCTGAGTCGATGAGATGTTGCATCATATACACTACGGACAGGAGTTTGACATGACAACTGAATTCCTTTCAGCAACATTTCAGATAGACTGATAATTATGAAGAGAAATAATGCTTGAACTAAAGTTTTTACACCGTTCAACACAAGATATGGCAAATGTCCTGAATTTTACTTGCATTCTCTCAGCAGCACACTTTTCCCTATATCCAAATAGCTTATTAAGCCAAACCTTTTTGCCTTTTCTCTGTTTCAAAATGCTACTGTCAGAACTCTGGCATAAAGGATCTTGCAAATCCATGGCAACCTGATTTTTGCTATGCATCACCAAAAATAAGTGTGCATACGTGGCATCCTCCCCCTCCCCGGTCATATGCTTTGCTGACAAATTCGGCAGGTGGACAGGAAGGGGTTAGTCACTGGAGCAGCGAGGGAGAGCAAAGGATTCCTCACAAAGGAATGTGCCTTAAATCCATGTGTCTGTTACTCATCACTCTCTCCACGTGAGAATTCCAAACCACTTGCTGTGTTTTATGGCAAGTGGCCTTTTTAAGAATAAAATGATGATAACGGGACCTCTCTGACAGCTGCTCTGTGGTGTGGAATATGAACCTCACCCCAGTGGAGGCAGAACAGGGGGCAGTGAGCAGATGAGATGGGGAGAGGTAAAGGACCATTAGCCCGAGATATGTGTCTCCAAAACATATCCTTCAGAGCCTTGCCATGTAGCTATGCCACTGCATTTACATCACCTTGTTAGTTTTGAATGCGTGATCTTTAAAACAGAACATGTAAAAATATAGATTACATAGCCATTATACACATAATAGATCCAAAATAGCACTGAGGAATCTAGAAAACTTTACGAATATTCTGTATTTTAATTGGGCAGTGTGTTAATTACATGTGGAGGAAAACCTTTAGATCATTTTTTTTTTTTTCTTTTGTAGGTAAATTATCCTCACATTTACCCAAAGCATGCACCGTTACCAAATCCTCCTAGTTTTGCTGTAAGGCTTGCTATTCAGGAACAACTACTGCCAGCTAACAGTAATAATCAGCCAACTCATTTCTCTACATGGACAGCCGAGGAATGGATACACTCTGTAGTCCCAGCAGCATCAGCAACTGTACAAAGAACATGTGGAAACTGCTGGCAGCAGCTAAAAAGACCGGGAAACAGGATATGCTATGAGATCAGTAAGAAACATTTCTGTTGTGTCAGCCTCTGATGCAGCACACCTGCAGAGTGCAGCCCGAGTCTCACCTGGCCGAGCAGAACACCCTCAGCTTCTTTGCTAAGAGGAGAGCTGAGCATCACTCTGGCCAGGCTGAGTGCTTTTCAGGATGGTGACAGACAACATGGGCTACTGTGGAATTTTTAGTGGCACCTACGTCCTGCCTAAGGGCTCACACGCCAGTGACACGACAGAATGAGAAGTCTGATAAAACCTTTCATGATAGAAATCAGCTTTACTTTTTCCTGTTCAAGTTAGCTGATACTGAGTAAATATATACAAACTGCTTCTTAAAATAACATCTTAACTAAGCACTGACATCTAGGACACACAGTTAAGAGTTATAGCTGCCTCTGAAATGTGCATTTGTCCATCTTTGTGTACATGCATGATACCATTCTTCAAGGAGCATGTGATAAACATTGCACTTATTCTGCATGCATAATGTGCAGATGGAGAATTCCAGGAAGAGCTCTAAAGCTATATTAAGCTTTAATTTTTCAAATATTTGAAGTCCTAAATTATTTGCAACTTAAAAAGCATTTTAATGTGCTTTTGCATACATTTTTGCAATATTTTATATTGATATTCAATAAAAGCTTTTCCATCCAGAGAAGCATGAACCTGAGGATAGTCAATGAATGATCAGCAGAAGACGTAAAACACACTTAGGGCCCTTTTTCTCCTTAAAGCACATACCATATGTAACTTGATGCTCAAAAACTTCCCATCGTGCCATGACCCCTGCCAATCCAGTGTCATACCTGGCAGCTTTCAAAAGTTACACAAAAAGTCCCGTGAGCAGGAGGAGAAGATAACTATTAGTAGATTAATAGTAGTATCTTTTTCTCTAAGTAAAATGCAATTCAAGTTTGGAAAAAGAAATATATGCTGGTAAGTAATAAGACACGTGAGTGGAGCCGGTTAGAGTGTACAGCAGGCACTGTCGATGTAACTAATTTAATCACTGGAACTAACTCAAGAAAAAACTCAGTTAATTGTGATCTTATATAAGGAGTGACGCCAGCCCATGTCTCTGTGCTGGGAACTAATGTAGCCTTGTGGGGGTTTTAAATCTGGCAGCTGGCAGACTGTGATGTTGACAAGGAGAAAGACTAGAAGCAGGAGCTATTTTAATTTTAAGTCAGAACTCCCCATTCAAAGTAGGGAGAGATTTAATATTTATTCCTTTCTTTTTTTTATTCTTTTCTTTGCCCTCTGCCAGGTTGGAATTTACACCAAGACAACTGTTGTAGGTTAAGGTGTGGCAACTTAACGGGCTGGAGCCTGGGCCATTTAATTTTTGTTTTATCATTTATATTGTTCAAGTTGCATCGTGATTATCCTGATACAAAACACCAACAGAAGTACAAAATCACTCACTGTTCTTTAGGGATCTTTCCCATTGCAGAGGTCGTGCCAATATGTGAAGTGGCCACCGCTTGGCACACCCTGTGGAGACAAGGTTCAGAGTATGCCAGGCTGACGGACCAGCAGAGGTGGTGGTCCAGCATTTCATTGTGCTGTCTCACTTCTGCAGACACACAGAATGGTCAACTCACTTGTTTGGGCCCAGGATGGTGGGAAAGGAGCAGCCAGCAAAGGAGAAGGGTGTGGATACTCTACAAGCAAACCAATATTTTGGTTTGTGAAGAGGGTAACAAAGCTTCTGATTGTTTAAATGCTACCTGAGTGATCTCGAAGAGATTTTCACAGAGAAATGAAGGCATTATGCTCTCTTACAGGTAGGAAAATCCAAGTACAGCAAACTGAAAGGACCAGGACATACTTGGCCAGTAGGCTACTGGTAGAGCTGGGGACAGCACCAGTTTCCAGCTCTAATGTACCATTGAAGTCAGCTACCTTTCTGGTGAAAAATAAAACAAAACAAAACAAAACAAAACAAAAACACTACATGCATAACTAGATTAATTGGATTAGACTTGGATTAATTAAGCACAATATCATTCTTGATCCCAGCAGAGCACTGACTCATCAGAGTCTGAACACTGTGGTTGAACGGCTGGGAATGTCACCTGATTCTTCATTCATTTGCATAAACAGGACTCGGTAACATCAGGCTGTGGGCACTGAAGACATTCAGCATCCCACAGAACTGAGAACTAAGCCATCACACTGAGATCTAAATAATTTGATGGGGAAAAATATTGCTCTGTCTCCTTTTGGAGGCTGTCTTCAAGGGCACAGGTATGTTTTTCCTCTTATAAAAATTATATTGTTCTCCTTTAAGTGATGAATTACTAGAAACAAAATATTACTGGGCACTCTAATAAACCTGTTTGAGCTGCTTGGCTTTGCTGACACGCAGTGAATGAATAAAAAGTGCTCCTTGAAGAATCAGAGCAATTGCCAGTGAATGAGATTACATGCCACATCCTGCTGCTGCTGGCCTGAACTCCACTCGCACATAGAAGCTCTAGAGAAAGATATTAGAAATATTGTAAACGTTGGAGGAATATTACTGGAGCATAAACAATTCTAAATACAACTATGATCTGCTAATAAACAACATGTGTGTTTCAGGCTCTACACCGCTTGAAATGTAACACCACAAAGAAAAATGTATGACCAAGCATGGTAATCCTATGAGAGGAAATGACATTTTACTGCATTTTCTTCATTCATATTTCTGAAGAAGTTTAAACACTGTTTATGATTTTTCTCAAGGAATATCATTCTGTGAATTCCTTTCCTTGAGAAATGCATCCCGTTTCTGCACAAATTTTGCAGATGAATATAGAATGCCTAATACTTTATCACTGAGATAAATGAGCAGAAAAGCTCGCTTCTTTCTCATTCCTAAGTGTCAGCAAGTATATTTCTCTGTGCCATAAATCACAAATACATAAGAAATGCAGCCAATTAGTTAATAAAATATGCCTCCTTCGGATCTAATGTCTACCATATAAGCATTCTATCTAAGGCACTGACAACACTTTTATCACAGGGAGCGATGGAGCTGTGCAAAGCAAGGGGAGCTGCAACTTGCCTTGCCAACACCTTCCACAGCTTTTCTTACCCTCTCATTGTGCTGCTCAGAAAGATGCACATAGGTAGTTACCATGGTAATTCCCACATCACATGGTAATCTTAGGCTGCTGTTGAGATATAGAGGATCTTCTTAAGGAAGCACATGCAAATGCAGAGATTACAGCTGATATGTTTTAGGCAAACTTCCTTGTTGAGTACAGTTTAAATTAGGTCAGGTTTGACAACATTAGTACGGAAAAGACCGTGTCTAGATCTCCCCAGCTGGGCAACTGTAACAGTGAAAACACATTTGCTTGTAACTAGCTCAGTAGGCACAAATGATTGATCAGATTTTAAAGCTCTGAGACAAAAGTCGTATTAATTTCTTGTATAGTGCAAACAGTATCACGTATTCTTTGTGACTAACAGTAACAACAATAACTGACTGGTTCCTCTGTAACAGGGCCCTGGAAGCACTTGTTAGATAGGCTAAGAAGGTGTCTGTCTGCATTAAGTAAACTCATAGTCACATGCAAACAACAGAATTATTCTGATTTTGAAATTCTGGGGCTTTTTCAAAAATGGAAATAACAACTTTCATTGGCAAGGCATGGGTTTTAGTTCCTTTTGGTCACAACCTGAACACAATGCCTGAAGAGAGTATCCCAGTTTGCTCAAACAGAGGAAAAAAAAAAAAAAAAAAAAGCATTTCAAGCTTAGGAGTATGACCTTGGCTTAGCTTCTGCATCTGAGAATCTGAGAACAGAGCTTTTTTTTTCCTTTTTTTTTTTCTTTCTTTTCTTTTCTTTTGGTTTTGAAGCAGCTTGTCTTTAACTGCAAAGCAATCTCTCAGCAGAAAACTCTTCACTAAAATTCTCATTTATGTTGATCTAAAGCAGTGCCTAGTATGTGACTAGGGAAGGACATGAAAGAATGGAAGAAATAAAAACACTTAATTAAAGGATTCATGCTTACACACATGGGTTAGAAAAAAGAGGAGGTAGTGTATCTATCACATCACTTTTCCTGTCCCTCTTATGCAAACACTGAGTTTTTATGTGGCTCACAACACAAAGCCCATTAGGCAACCTTGCTGCTCTTCTCTGCACAAGAAGGGAAACAAGAATTTTTCTTTTCCAATTTCACATCACTTACGAACATCATTTACAAACTACCACACTGATTTTTCACAGAATCCTTCTGCACATTGGGCCAGGCACACTAAAAAGAGTAGAAAGACTTGTTGCTACAGACACCTGGCCTCTTTTCCCTTACCAGCAAAATGGAAACAATTCAGCACAAAAAAGGGAGGTGATACTGCCTGTCTGCCATCAGGATTTGTCACAAATTTTAAAGTAATAAAAATCAAATTAATCTGAGGGATTTCTCCTGGTAATCCAGTGGCTGCCTTTTAATCCCCAAAACACTGTCTCCTCAGCCAAATTAACTAAATGTACCTCATGTCTTTATATCGGATGTTTCAATCTCTGAAATCTCCATCTTAGACCTCTTTAGGTCTACCAGAAATTTTGAATGTATATTAAAAGAAAAATTATTACACTATTAAAACAGGTACTATACTTCTGCAGTCAGTTACATGCCATACACTGCATTTGTGCATCCCAAGTGGATCTAGTGCTACTGGCTGTACTTATCCCACACCACCTAGTGAAGAGCAATAGTGATGACATTCTGTCACCATAAAAGCTTACAAAAACTTTATTTTTTGCTCCAAGTGGAACCTGTATTACGTAAGTGGCCTATTAGACACCCTGCTTTTGACTGTTCGTGGCCACGTAAATGAAAATGAAAACTGGATTTAAGCCAGTGTGTGCGATGAGCAAAGGTGTAACAGATTTAGTGTGAAAACATTGCTGAGTTTTCAAAAAAGTGACACTTTTTTTTCACTTTTCTCCAGTTTCTAGTGATTTTTTAAGGAAAACAAAACAAAACAAAAAACAACAAGAAAACACAACAAAACACATCCAAAATTCATTGTAGAGAGAGTGCTGAAGTTCAGCTGAGAGAGGGTAATTTTACCTTGAAAGCCAAGCCTGGCATTCTTTCTCAAGTAAAGGTAGAGAGAGGAAAAATGAAACACAGCTGTAATCAGGGACGGAAATTAGTAACCTTCGATTCTGTGTATAAGGAACTCTGGAAGAAATGTAGTACTTCAGCTTATACCAGCATCCGAAGAGAAGGAGGGGCTATAAGCACTTGGAAATGATTTTTCCAACTTTAGAAAGCTTGTGTTCCCCCCCCCCCCCCACCATGTTTTCTTTGTCTATTTTCCATACCAGAGCAGAACCCATTTCCCCTGTTCATTACCATAAGCTACTTACAGTTAACAAAACTTAGTCTCAGGAAAATGTCAAATATAATGAAAAAGAAAGATGAAAAGTTATAAAAGAGAGAGAAAGTTGGCAACAAGTTCTCCTGTGGGTCACATTCTCACAGGTTCTGCAAGTTCTTCTGTTTCATCCACTAAAAAACCTGCTACCACCTCAGCTGCTTGTGCTGCTGCCATTGCTGCTCTGGTTTGTGTCACCAGGGTATTGTCCATAAAAAGAACACCTCCTAAAGCACTGCGTAATGTCAGTGGTGGTTGACAAGGTGGAAAAACAGCTTTACTCTTTAAAAACACCAAAAATGAACCACTGGGAGTTTGCCTCTTTTCTTTCTTTACCATGAAGCAGACTCTGAAAGAAACAAAGGAGTATAATGACGCAGATGAAGAAAGAATAAACTATTTATTACTGTAATGTGACATTCAAGGATCATTTTGAGAATAATTAGAACATATGATGGATCCAAAACCTCAGCAGAATCTAGAAAAGAAGGTTTTGAGGTCCTGTACTGGGAAATCCAACACTAGGAACCACGAAGAAAGAAGAAATGGCACTGGATTGTCAGTCTGATATAATCAGCACAATGTTCTAGCTCTTGGAAAGATAAAGACAGTCACAATTTATAAGAACAAGAATGAAGGTTGAGATTAAACTAGGAGCTAGTGAGCAAGTGATAAAAAATAGACAACAGACAAACAAAGAGAAGGTATGTCAGAAAGTTTACAATATTTTTTGTTAAGTTTCCTGTCGATTCTTTGTGTTGACAGCACTCAGTTTATACATAGAGTGAAACTCATTCTTAGAAGAATGGAAAAATCACCTATCAACCAGACCCCTACACAGGTAGGTATCTGAAAATCCCCATTGAGACCCCAAAGACACCTTAGATAATAACTATTTTACTGAGACCTTAGAATGTTCCACAGTGAACATGAAAAACATACTAACACACAACATAACCTAATTGAACATACTAATAACTGCAGGGAGAAAGTGATGAAAGACTTCTGTTAAAAACAAGGGTCCATCACTTACTGGTGTTTATGAATATATTCTACAGTCATAGAAACAATATAAGGTAAGGACCAAAGTACAAGCCCATTTATAGATCACAGAAATCAGAATATCAATCATCTAACCATCTGACCAATGAGATCCTGGAAGAGCTTTCTGCAAGGATGTTGTGGACAACAAAACTAAGTACTTTTAAGATGAAACTCGATCATCTTATAGAAGGTGTATCTGATGCGGTTACAAATGAGGACTCACAAATTTATCTCTAGTCCCTGCAACATGTAGGATTATTTTTTAAAGGACCTAAAGTAGCCATGTAAAATATTATTAAGGCAGGCATCTAAACATCACATCCACTCTCGTGGCAAATTAATAAATGTCTAGTCTTCAGAAAACATAATGTGATTTTTTTTATTTTTATTTTTTTTTTAAGTGAGCTGGATTCTTTGGTTTTGTTTTACATTGAATTCCTGAGGCAGAATTGCGATGAACTAATCATGGGCTTCATAAATGTTGCTCCCCATGTTACTGACCAAGTGGTTACTATAACACTATTAACTGTACCGACTATTACTTTGGAGCTAACATGTATGTCTCTATTTGGCTTTTAGGTTTACACCTCCAAAGTGTGGCTGTACCACTCAGATTTCCATAACTGCTGCTTCAGACTGATAGGTACAACATTATCTGTTCTCTTCTTTTTCGGTATGTTTCCTGGTTGTGAAAAAAAACACATTATTCTCTAAATAACCAAATACATCCTCTAACTTTCAAGAATATCAGAAAGTCTGTGAGGATCAAGATGAATCACTTGACACATGCATATTTCAGTGAGCATGTGGGTAGATGCCAAAATGTTTTACCCTTACTGCTATTAACTTTCAGGCTACACTCCTGTATCAAATTTATGTCATTGATTCCACAGAACCTGCACTAACAACATCTGTCAGGTGATGACTAAAGAATTAGCCTGAGATTTGGAAGATTTAGATTCAGCTCCGTGTTAGGATGTAGGTTTCCTGTGTGGTCTGGTGCATGCTCCTAAGGTCATTCAAACAGGATGCAGAAAATCTATGTTCTCTCCCTTGTACTATGGGATTTGTTTCCAGTTCTTTCTGAACAGTTGTCCAGTAATCAGGGAATAATGTTTGGGGTTGGTAACAATCTTTTGACCCATTTTTGCTGCTGAATCACTTCCATACTGCAAGGAGGGATTAAAAAATCCAATAACAGCCGTACTTGTTCAGCCCCCATAGCCTACTGCTTTGACTCCCACAATAAACAAAAGTGTGCACCTATGGAAGAGTACTAACAAGGCAGGCATATGTGATATCTCCCCTGTTGATACTCTCTCAGCCTCTGGCTGGAAAATTTCCAAAGCCCACTGCTACGTGTCCACTAAGTAATCCTCTTTGAATCTCTCTTCCACATTGTTATCTCATCTCCTCTTCACAAAATGTATTTTGTCATCTAAAATGTCCTAAAGCAGGCCTAATACAATTTCCTTCCTGAATTTTTTTCTTCTCCTTGGCCAGTCCCTAAAGTGATGTTCCTGTTTTTTGTTGTTGTTGTTGAAAATGACAAGGGAAACCTCACTGTGCTACTTATGACTTCAGGCTTCTGCCTTGATTGAGTTGTCTTCATTTCCACGGTGAAGATTGCTAGCCTATGCAGTCATTCTCTGTGTGGAAGCCATTTCATTCTTTTCAATTCCCTCTCGTAAACTTCTCCAGTTCTAGTATATTTTGAGGTCAGAAGACCAAAACTGTCCACAGTATTTATGGTGCCAACAAACCACGGATTTGTTCAATGGCTTACTGCATTCTCTTTTCCTACTCTAGCCATTCCTAGTGTTTGATTTTCTTTTTGATCTTTGCTAAACACTGAGCACAGCATGGCTCTCTATATTATCACTCCAACATTTTGTTCTTAAATGCTAATGGTCATCTCAGAGCCAACATATCACTTAGTATATGTATTATATGAAGGTAGGACAAATTTTCGGATGTACAAAATTTTACAGACAAATACACCCAAATTCTAATACATAGTTTATATATAAATAATTTAGTCCAGAAATGAGAGCCAGGAGTAGTAACACAATCAGTGTCACATGGAAAATGGTAATCAGATTCCTAATTCCTACTCTGCTAAATAATTAATTTTCTATATTACTTATTGATTGGAAATCAGAAGTATATCTCACCCTTCCTATTTTATTGCTAGCACTAGGCTGCAGGCTCTCTCCTGTGTTTCAAACATGCATTCTCTTCCTTGCAGACCTCCATAAATATTTAATTGCTCAACTCAGTGTGGGTCAGCTTCAGGCAGAAGGGACAGACACCACTTTATTCCACTGACTAAAACCAGAAAGAAGGGAGGAAGGGAAAACAGAAGATAGAGGAGAGAATAAAAGGGGAAGGAGGGAGAGAGGGAAGAGCAAGAGAAAGGAGAGAGAGAAAAGGAGGGAAGGAAGAAGTTAATGTTTGTTAGACAATACAGGGAGCTGAACTCATAGGCTTAGACCTTAGTCCTTGTACTACTGAGGTAGTGGATAACTTGTGGAGTACCTCTTTCTGCTATGTCTTGAAAAAAGATTGGCCTCACCTCAGAAAATAAATAAATAAATAAAAATAAATAAATAATATAAAAAAAAGCTGAATTGCTTTATTCCAAGGGAGACTTCAGAATCAAAGTGAGAAAAGTAACTCAGATCAGAACATAGATGCCTTTTAATTCCTGAAGATGAGGATAGGAAATGAGCACAAGCTATGGCCTTCTCAGTGGTTTCCTGTTGGCATTTTGTGGTTCCTGAGCCCATATTCTCATATTTGCGCAGCACATTATTGCTAAGTCTGACTCTTCACAGTTTGAGCCGGGCCTGAGGAACTTTGCCAAGGGATTGCATGTGGTGGCAAAGCTGCCCCCTTGCTGCTGGAGTCTCTAAGTCTGACTGAAAACCAAATGGGTTTCGGATCAACAGTCTGAAGAGCGATCTTGAAAGTTATTAGACTTCTATTAAATAAAAATAAAACTGCTAATTATATCTGAAGATTTTGGTGTAAGTAATTCTTTTGAATGACAAATTGGTAAAAGAACTAGATACTGAAACAAAGGATGAAGCCATAATAAGGTATTGTTGATGGACAGGATCTTAAGAGCCTCCTCATTAGTTCATTCAGTTTCCCACAAGTACGGCTATTATAGCAATGTTTTCATTCATGCCTTATTTCTATGTGGATTCTATGCTTTTGGGATGATATGGATTATTTTCTACTGTACGTACAACAACTAACCTAGTGGGGTCCTAATCACAGTTATGGGCTCTGGCAATATAGTGAACATCTATTTCAGTTATATATGATTTTGTTAATTTATTTTTTTTTGTCACCACTATCTACTTTTATGATGTCTTTCTTATGGAAAGAAAAAAAAAATCTTAAAGCAGTGGTATTTGTGGACACCACTGCCAGCATACTCATTTAAAATATTTGGTTCCCAATATGTGAAGAAGAAACCTGAATAAAATCAGCAGTCCTTTACAGTGCCTTGAAAATCCAGGCCTATGGGATTTATGTGTTCATTTCCCATTGAAATAAAAAGTAAATAGTCAAATACCCTGTGCAGCTCTGAAAACCATATCTTAAGATTTATGGCAATGTCTAAAAAGCTAAAAAGACAATTCTTTCTTCAGTAAGCAAATATATTATTGATGTCCATATTTAGCTTTATTTTCATTCTCCAGTAAAGAAGAAAACATTGGTAAGCCTACCAATTTTATTTCTTAATACAATGCAGAATTGTTTTCATTAGTAGCAAAATTACTTGTGTTCAGCTATGTACTATGCATTCTCTACTAAGCTATAATACAAGCCAAAAGCTTTTATTGGGTATGTAAATAGTTTATTATTACTAACAGCTACACGCAGCCAAGTTTAGCTAAAAAAACATGGCTGGATTTAAAGGGCACAAACCCTCCAAATAATCAATTCTTTAGGGGGTTCTGGAGCTTTTAAGTATGTTTCTGCAGAGCAGAAATCTGATGCAGATTATAAAAAGAAAACAGTACCCTAATAGCTTACAGTATTATTTTACATCACAAAATCGTACAATTCCATGTGTACGCTGCATAACAGAGGGCCAAAATCTGCCCTTCCACGTGTCCCTGTTGGATTTAACATGACTTAAAGTGTTCAAAACAGAAAGAAAGTTATTGCAAGAAAATTTCGTCTGTAGCATTACTGTATTGGGATGCACGGTATTAGCATATTCTGCGCTACACAGCAGAGTTTTCTCTTGGACCAAGTCTACCTCTGCCTCCAAAGGTGGAGAGGCCTCCTGGCAGTGCCCCAGGCAATTCTTCTAACTGAGGAATTAGTACATGTGAGCACATTCCCCACCAAATTAAGGGATCGGATCGTTACATTTTAGTCCATGAACTGAGCATATGGAATTTGAGGATCCAGAACTTAATACCTGATCTTTAATCAGGAATTAAAACATAAGGGTTTAGGGGGAAAAAAATTGAATTTTAATGAGTTAAAATTTAGTTCCTTGGCTGTTCTCTGGTGATGTTTTTTTTTTTTTTTTTTTTTTTTTTTTTAAGCTCTCTGTGTAATAAAAATGTCATTACACTGCCTTGCCTGGTTTTCTACCATATGTAGGAGGACTAGGAATTGGCTTTTTCAAGAAAATGGAAGCTTGTGGTTCTCATGAAAATGGCTGAATTGGAGACTAGTTCTTGAACAAAACCTCTAAGCATGGTTACACTTCTGCTAAAATGATGAGGGTTGAATTAAAGCTAGTTATCTCAATAGTGCCTTCTACAGTTTCCTAGAGAGGATGTGCTCAGGCCATGCTGGCATCAGGGTTCCTCCTCTTCTCAGCCACCCTGAGAATAGAAGTGAACCCCATCCACGTTAGTTGCTCACAGAGCTGAGTCTAAAGCCAATTATTATTATTACCCCATCATTGCCACCAGTATGGATGTCTGACACACTATAATCTGCAGAGATGCTAGGATTGGAAAAAAAATTTTTACACAGAAGTTCAATATTTACAAAGAATTAGGCACAGACTCTGAAGGGCTATGGCTTTGTATATGCAGAGAGGCAGAAGCAATACAGAGAAATTAATACTGTCCATCCAAGACACCTGCCATGGAGACAGAGCCAAAGGTTTTTCAGTGTGCTTCCAATAGCTGAGTCCTGATGTTAAAGAGAAATGAATTTCTGGCAAGCACAACTCAAGTACATAAAAATGAAGCTGTTGTTTAGGAAACATTTAATTGAAGGATTTTGCATAACAATGCACTCCTCTGTCAAAAGCTGAAATGTTCTGATTTCACTGAAATAATGTTCAGCTGAAAAATATAAAAGGTTTCAAGAAAAAAGCATTTTGTTTTGGCACTTCTGAACTGAAAGTTTATTTTTTTCTTATACACAAAGTAGAAGCAAAATAAAATGTTTCAGACTTTTTTTTTTTTTTTTTTTTTTTTTTCCCCCATAATTCTCGTATTAGAAATCCAAAGTTTAGATGTTTTTCACCTAACTGGAATAGAATCAACTACTGGAACCTCAGGTTTTCCACAGGCCAAATTTGTCTTCTATGTAGCATTTTCCACCCTGTCAGAAAAGAATAACCAGCTCTTGTGTGTCTTCAGCTTGTTCCCGTAATTACAGGCAGGTGGCATAAAGTCAGGAAAGAAAATCTTTTTCCTCAATGTGCGAAGAAAATCCTGATTACATACACATTTATTAAATCAGCTTGTTTGACCACACCTATGAGTTCACACTACTTGCTATAGATGGTAAGCATACCTAATGAAAATAAAGATGTGTAGATGTGCACACAGCACAGTCATACAGTAAATAAAAAGAAATCTGTGGTTAAACACAATTGCCTCATGTTTTTTAAAAAATAATGCAAATTATTCTACAACTGGGTTCCACCAATCCATAACTAACTGCAGATTTGCCACCAATCATATATCCCTTTCTAGGTAAGCTGTTTTCTAACTGTGATAATGCTAGCATGAGATGGCAAATGAGTATTAAACAACATTTATGTGGAAAATGAAATGAAGCTTTTTTTTTTTTTTTTTTTTTTTTTTTTTTTTTTTTTTTTTTACCCCCATTAGGAAGAGAGATTTTAGCAACAATTACTGTTTCTGTGGTGGCAGGGTAGACACAATGTACTGAAGCCCTTAGCTTTTGCCCATCTAACTCAATTCAGGGATGCTGGCAAGGTTTGCTCATTTATCAGAGCACTCTGCTCTGTTTGGTTTCACGGTAGCTGTGAAACTGGGCTCCAAAGCCGATGCACACCACAGATATTTATGCATATAAAGGGATTGAAGAGAAAAAGAGAAAGCTTTCAAAGAGAGGGCTGGCTGCTCCCATCTGGAGCTGTAAATGAGAAGCTTTAGCCTCATGCTGCCCCACAGGGGACATGCACACCAGTGCAATAAGGTTTCCTATACATCTTGTTAAGCCAGCATTAGATTGAAAAATGCCAGTTTTCATCCACACGCCACCATCTCCTGAGCCCTCAAGCTTGTCCTCAGGTCTCATAAAATACTTGCTTCCACCTGTTTCCACCAGTATCCCCTAGAGTTTACCATGAATTTAATTGCCTGCCAGTTTTTATGTCTGCTTAAACTACAAGACCTTTAAATAATTTATATCCTAATTACTGTTCATCATTTTTTAACTAGAAGGCTCAATTCCATTCACACAAAAGAAAATTCATGGGATTCGTTCTGAAGACATACTTTCAAGGAGCCATATAAAAATAGCAAGTGTGATCATGGTTTTGAAGAATGAACTTAAACTTACTTTAATAAAATGTCATAAAAAATATCAATCATTCCCTCCTGATATGGATCATAGTCATTTTAGCACAGTTTCTATTAAATAAGTTCATAGTTCACGTGAAATGCAATACCTCAGATTTCTGGTAGAGCTTATTTATTGATCATCTCACTCAGGGTTACCATTCTGCTTGCAATTTCTATTCCTCTCTCCCAACAAGCAGGATTAAACCCAACTGATGTTTCAATCAATCTCAGCTAACACAACTTCAGGCTATCAATTTCATCTATGATAATTTGGAGCAGAAGACAGCAGTGCCTCTGAGCCACAGTTCAGAATTAAACATTTTTTTTTTAATTACTCTCCTTTTTTAAAGGAAAAAAAAAAGGATTTTATTTTATTTTATTTATTTATTTAATTGTACTACAATATTTCCAGGTACAAGCCAGTAATGCCTAAAGTTGCTCTATGATTTGTGGCAGGGCATCTTAAGGAGAGGGGAAATTGTTCTAATGGAGTGTTATAAGTTTCTTGAGTTCAACAAGTTAATAGAAGACATATGTCTGGAATGATTTTGCTGTTAGCATTTTGTCTGAGAAATATACACAAAGGAAAAACAGAAGATGAAATTATAGGACAAGGGCAGAGTAAAGGCTTTTGAAGTTTTACTATCGCTACCAGGAATAGCTGTAACTCTTTTACAGGTTTATGGCATTTCTGTTAAGCATATCCTGGCCAATACTTTAAAAATCTGATTGTGAATCCATGCATGATTGCTTCTCTGCTTTTGCCCAATTGGGCCTATTTAAGAGTAGGGGCCAAAAATTCAAATGTTCTAAGCATCCAGAAGCTCCAAAAATGAATTCATTGTGAATTTGAAACATACGTGATTTTGTAGACAGAATTAGGAGTTACAGGAGACATTGGTCATTAAAAGGTTTACTTGAGAAAATAAAACTGCTAGGTATTGAGAACTGTAGAAAATGAGAACAAAAATAATCTGGCTGTGCAAACATAATTTTGCATAACTTTACTTAAATGAGTGGTGTTACATTTACGAGGAAATATTTTCAGAAGCTGGCTCTTAGTTTGTCAATAAAGAGACATTCAGCTTCTACTATGGCTCACCCATGCAATTCAATGCCTGCTCTCCCATTGCCCCTCCTCAGGAAGCCCTCCAGGCATGACCTACCAGACAAGCTACCTGGCCTTCAGGGCTCAGAAAGGCAACACCCGTGATCAGAATGGGTGCTTAGCATCATCACACCAGAACATTTTCACGACCAGATGCAGTGGTTGCTACATGCCCCACTGTATGTGTGCTGACTGCTGGTGACTGCATTTGGTCACGTACCGGGTGCGCTGGCAGCCGTGTAGCTGGGGGAAGGAGAACATACGGTTCTCCATTTGTTTCAGAACAGACTATTGGCATTTGCCTTTCCCCAAAAGATTGGGAAGAACTGCAACAGTTGGGAAAAAGACAAAAAACTTCAAATGTCTACTCAGTTCTGATCATAATTTATGTAGGAGATAAGACATTTCCAGATAGTTTTCCATACACATTCTTGAGTAAAGGAGCTACACACACACACACAAACCTACCAAAACCAAACTGAAACAACAACAACAAAAACCCACTAGTACATTCAATGATTTACAGAAGTCACTTCTCAGTTGCTAACATCTATTTTTTTTTTTTTTTTTTTTTTTTTGCTTGAATACCTCATCACGTTTGAACTTTGTCTACCTTAGACTCTGTAAGTGCGATTAAATTTTTCACCTAACACTAAGAGAGGTGGCAAAGATCTCTGAGCTGATTTTTCTTCCCAGCTTTCTCCAAAGGCCTAGCAGATACTCTGTTTTTTCCCTTCAGGAAAGGCAACATATGGAAATAATATGGGACAGATCTCACTCCAAGACACTTTTATGGTCTTTGAAACCTGACTGTTCAGGCGGTAAAAGTATTTCTTGACAGAACTGCTCTCGGCTACTATGTCCTTGTTAAAGCAGTCAGTGGTGTTCAGTCCAGCCTGCACAGACACAGTGACTCACACGCTCTTTGGCATGACAGATCTCTCCTCCTACCTCCAGTCCAGGCATATCGTGCCTCTCCTGGTGTCTGTCAAGAAACCAGCACACAGCCACCGACAGCAAGCTACCTTAGTGCCAGTTCTCAGCACAGGGTGACACCAAAGCCTCTTAAAGATAGCTCAATATTTTCCACTTATTTCCAGAGAAATGCATGTTTGTGTGCCAAAGATACAATGAGAATCTGCTTCCACATCTTCCGCCCAGGCTTGGAAGTATCCTGCCCGCAAAGAATGTTTTGCATAGTTTCAAACACACCAGGGGATTACTGGGCCACTCTTTAAAGCAGAATATTGGATTTCATACCTACTTCAGGTATATGCTTTTGATATGTTATTGTTAAAATTAAAAGGAAGATTTTTATTGTCAAATTGCATCAAATACAACACTTTTGCTTTCATTGTATCTCTGATTTAAAATCCGATAGCTGTATTCTTGAAAGGTTTCATTAACGAGAGTACTGATGTGAACTCATAAAAGGAAAGGGACTACACGCAATCTGCTTAGCAATGCTAATATTGCTTTGCCAAATGTTTCATCCCAACAACTTTAGTATTAATAAGGGAATTTCAGAGGATGTTGCTGTAATAAATTACTTTTCCTGAGAGGGATTAGAGTCCTCTGATGGTGCCCCATGTGTTGTAATAACCCTGGGCTACAACAGTTTCATCACACTGAGGTATCCTTTGCTGATTTATTGCTTAGCTAATAGTCTTCCAAGGAGAAACTTGCTAATATTTCATAATTCACTCCATATACATGTGAAAACACAGAATAGTATGTACACCATCACACTGTGAATTTCTTAATGTTCCAAAGACTGGCCCAGCAGCAGGCCTCATTCCAAGGGCTCATCAGTATCTAAGCTAAGGGTCCTGTTCAGACTGCGAGACATGCATTAGGACATGTGACTTCAATCTTTCAAAGAGATAAAGACTTTGAAAATCCTGTAGCAGTTCCTTTACAGGATGTAAGATCATACCCCATTTCTCACACAGTAGCAACTAAAAAGAATATCTAACCAGCTAGCTAAAAACACAGTTAATTATAACTTTTAAAAGATGTGGTACATCTGTAGTACATGATGGGAAAAAAAGATCAGTTACTTACTTTGTGGTGCACGTTGTATCTTTTTCTTTTAATCAAAGCTCTTCATGGAATATGAGCTGGAAAATTCAGATTTCTGTGGATACAGGAAAAAAAAATGGTACGTGCTTTATGTTTACATTAGAAATACTGTTTCTAGAAAAAAAAAATAAATCAATTTGTGCAGTACATCCAGGGTTTATAAGGGGTTTTAATTTTCTTTAGGCAAATTGTTTTTAATCACTGAGTAAAAATTAGAACATTCACTAGGAAAAGGACTCCACACATTTTCTAGGTGCCAATTTGTCATCCAGTTTTGCAGGTAAAACTCTATTTAAGTTTTTAAAGCCAGAATAAAGAATGCTGAATAGAAACTCATATGAATTCTCATTAAAGAGAGATTGCTGACAGCATTGGTCTGCTTGTTCCTTGAAAACTCATTCTCTCAATGTCCCCTGTCTTTGGTGACAGGCTCGTTGTCTCTCTAATGAGTCCAATAACAAGCAAGCAGTTTGGGCATTTGCTTATTTGTTGTAGGTGATTGCCTTAAAAGAACAGGACCAAAATAGCTAGTTTGCCTCTGTTTTGTACTTACTCTTACGGTATTAAAACTATCTTTTTTTTTCTTTTTTTTTTTTTTCTTCTTTTTTTTTCCCCAATGATTTCTTTGTGGGGCTTTAATGTAAAGTGTTTGGAAAGGCATAGAGACAATATTATTAACTAGTTTTCATAGCTAGTTTGGCAATGTAGAACAGCAACAAAGCCTTTGCATTTACCCAAGTGTTGTGCTTTAGGATTATGTGTCCTTTCTCTCCTTGTCTTCCTCAACTCACTAATGTGCCAGCTACCAAAAACTGCTACTTATGAAGTTCATCGGTAGAATATACCCATGCTCTGAATACTCTCTGCTCATGAAATAAAAATAGTATTCTAGGAGCTACACAAATGCAAGGCATATGACAAATGCTGAGGACAAAGTAACAAGACTCCTTTCTTCCCTCCCTGATGTTTAAAGGACAGCATGGCAGGAAAATAGAAGTGGCTATTGAATTGTCATAAGGTAGGTTCAAGGCTACAAGTCTTACTCACGTTTAAAGAATATGTCACAAAAATTCAGACAGAAAACGAAGATGTGGTCTGTACTTATTCACTACTGGTTTTCTTAAGCAAACGTTATAGGATTTTTTTTCTTCAGACCTCATTTCTTATCTCTCAAAAACATACCAATGATAGACGTACTTAATCTTGCAGGCAGAAAAACAGTAGGAGCTATAGGAACACCTATTTCATTTTATTTTGACAAACACGCACCATTTTCCCACAGCCACTTTCTAGAGACTGTCACCTTCTTTAGCCTATATTTCTCCATCACTTCCACCAACTGCTATCTAGCAAGCAGCTCCTAAACCAAATCTGAAAGTAAATTCTCTTTTGAGAATTGGTAGTGTATTCTAGTAAGTTTCTGTACAATTGTTAGATGTGTTTACTAGATTCTTAAAAAGAATAATGTGGATCAAGAACAAATAGTTTGTAACATTTTGCAGAGGACTAGCAGAGACTAACCATCCACGGAGCAGGTGAATGTTAACTTTCCCTTGCTAGGAAGTAAAACAAAACCACTTTCACGTCAACCCTTTTTGTCATGCAGGATTGTGCAGGTGCAGAAACAGTACTGGCAGTTGTTGATGGCCGTGAAATTTCAGGAGCACAAGAAATCAAAATGGTAGCAGCCCACAGTCAATGGCAGCAGAATTTAAGAGCTGGCCTGAGATAAACCAAGTAATATTGAGGTTGTCCTTCTACACCCACCAGCAGTTCCCTAAGTGAATGGCCCTGTGCCACACAGACTGGCAACTTCTTTAAGGATAAGAATCCCAAACTGATCCTGCTGAAGGACAAACTGTGTAACACGCACTGTTCATAGTGTGTCTTTTACTTAATTTATCCCATTTAAAGAGATAATGTACCCTTAAGAACCTGTTAAAATTCTACCTGGAACATCACCATCATCCCACTGCTTCCTTAACACTGCACATTCTCCATGAATGCCCACAGCACAAGACCAGATCTTAAGAGTTTTCGTGCTTTCATCAGTGAATGCAGTGTGATTGAAAGCAGCAAGGGAAGGAACAGCAAATTGGAGAGTTGTCTTTTGTGTGCACAATAGCAACTTGGTACAGTAAATGCTAGTGCTGTACAAATCCTAATAGCTTTCTCTTGATATATCCTAATTTGTGCCCTAAATGTGAAAATATATGGCAAGCTTACATGTGTTTTTATTTTTAAAAGCAACTTTTCACTACTCAGAGAGAAATTCTTAAAAATTATAACAATTTCAGCAATCCAATTGTTATAAGAAACTACTAACAACCTTGATGATGCAGAAAGAAGAAAAATAAATATATTTGTAATGGCATAGATTTCAGGTTCAAGTTCTCAAAAAGTTGGTTTTGGGGATGCGCCTGAATCTGTCTGCTGACTTCAATGGGTACCCAAAACCAATAAGCATACAAATTCAGCCTGAATAAATACACCAAATTATACTGTAAGCTTCAAAATGAAATTCTGCATTTTATCTAGCCACATAGTGTTTTAAAGAATATACTAAGAAATCCTAAGGCAAGTGTAGTGGGGGTTTGCAGGGGGCACAAGTCTGTAATAGACTTGAGCACTCTCATTTAAATTGCTGAGTATTATTAAGATAGCAATGAGGATTTAAACTTTTTTACCCTGTTATCATCAACTCCTCTCCATCGAAGGAAAGGCAGCATCGTACCATGAACACGTTCTGATCTCCTCTGCAGGATAAGCCACCCAGGTACCATATGTAGGTCAGCGAGGTAGACACCTTTATTCCATCCAATCCAAGTAAAGCGTACAAAAGACAAAAATGACTATGGGGACTCTTCAGCACGATCAAAGTGATGTTAGTGTTACACATTTGTTCTCATTCTGGTCACATAACTATTGCTGCCTGTGGCACATATAAAAAATACATGGCACTTTTAGTAAAAGAATGACAGGAAGAATGCTGAGAGAAAAATGCAAGGCTGCGTCCTTTCTAGTTATAAAGAAAACACAACAGAGTTAAAAGGCACAACTGAAACATAATGATCAAATAATGATCCTTTTCCACTGACAATCAGATTTATACCTTTTTCTACAAAAAAAAAAATAAATCAGCAAGTACAGAATTATTCAGCCTGCGCATCTTGCTCTACTGTAAAAGTAGGTGCAGATCCAAAGATTAGGCACATACCCAGGCTCCAAAATATCCATCTAATAATAGTTTCTAATTGTGTGTGTTTGTTGTTTTGTTTTTTCAGTCAAACAGATCTAGTGAATTTGTAGACCAGATTACTGATACATGAAGAATATTTTTCCTTTAAACAGATGAAACCAAGTGAAGCAAAGGACAAAGAAGCAGAACATGTTATTACTGAAGAGGTATTTCATAATTGCCTGGTACATTTCAGTTTAATCAAATCCTCTGCATGTTACTGGTAGCCCGGCACAGTCTTCATTTAATCAAACTGATACAGCGCAGCTGAAATCAAGGCCTGGTTCAACCAGCTTCCTCAACTTAATTTCCTTTCCTTCAAGTTGGACATATTGGCTCCACACACTTTGACACTTCTGCTAATGAAAACACCAACAGCTTGGTGCAGTTGTAATGAAAATATGAATCAAAGCTTCAGGATCAACCCCTACGTCTGTTACCGATGGTTGGCAAGAGGGACCCGGGAACCTGATGCCAGTGCAGAGCTGCGCACCTCGGATGGAAGAACTCCGTGCAGTGCTGGCTGGGCACTGGCTGGCTGGAAAGTAACTTTGTACAACAAGAGACGGGGACCTGGTGAACAAACAGAACACAATTTGGTGTGGTACCCATCTAGGAAAATAGGCCATGGGACTGCATTAGCAAGAGCGTAGCCAGCAAGCAAGGGAAAGGAGGGTTTCCCTCCCTTCAGCACATGGGAGATGGCACCTGGAGTTGAGTGCAGTTATGGATTTCCTAATAAGAAAGACATTGACATGTTAGGACACATTAGTGTGTCTCAAAAATGAAAAACAAAACAAGGAAAAGTAATATGACTGGTGAAATGAGCAACAGATTGAGGGCAATTTCCCAATGTGTAATTCACAGTTAATAATATCAACTGCATTTAGTCTATTTTCAAGTAATGTGTTCAGGCAGGTTGTGATTTCCTAAAAACGCTTCCTTCCTTTGCTGATCTAAGGCAATGCACTGAACGTAACAGAAAGACTTCCATTAATAAGGACACCATGATTGTTTTGGCTTTGTGGATTGGCCCTCAAGAAAATCTCTGCAACCAATAGCATTTATAGAAAAGGATGGAAGGGTTATTTTCTAAGGTTCATTTCTTATTGGTTTATCCTTGCACTGCAAGTCATAATAAATATTAGTTTCTACTAATAAGCAGTATTCTTGGAGATGAGCGGTTCCTGCACTGCTTTCCATGCTTGCTACAGTACCCCTGTTTTTAAAGGTGACTCAAATGCTTCCTTGTACAGTTTTAAACTTTGGTTTCTGCTAACTCATGATAAGAGTCCGCAAAGCCTTGTGTCAATAATGCCAAGCTCTACCAAGTGGCTACAAAAGGAGTATGAGCTTGGTTAAACGCAGTCACTTACAGAGAGGATATTTAAGCGGAGAGTTCTTACGCTGTCAGTGTTATACCCATTCCCATTCGGATCTCTGTTATATGATCATGAAGTGCAAAGTAAAGCTCTACGGTGTTAACTACGTCCATGATCATACATCCATCCCAAGTGTTTATTCAATCTGAAATACAGCTTTCAGAAAGATGTTGTCAGTGACAGCTCCCAGGGTAAAAATAATCTTCAGGAAGCACTGACATGAACATGAAGGCCAGCTCTCTGTTCTTCAAGTTTTGGCAAACCACGGAGCCCCTCTCTGCACCTTTTGCTCCACTTTGCTACTGCTGCCAGGCTCATCATAGGTCTGCACGCAAAGAACAGCACAGGATAAAGCACTGGCATAACATTGGTTGAGATGTTTATCTGATAGCACTCTCCCTGACACAGTCTGGGAGACAGTCTGTGGCCAGCCAGCATTCTCAAAATGCCCAGGCATAGTGTGAGACATGGTACTGGGTGAGGATTATCCTCACCAGGCAGCACAAGCCAACGCCGCCTCGAAAGGGAGGAGCACAACCTAGTCCTACAGACATGAATCCTACTGTGCCAGGGAAACGGGCTTGGTTGATTCTGCTGGCTTTGACAAAGTCAAAAGGATGAGGGCTTCCTTTTTTGGGAACCTTCCAAAGGCAATAGCTTATTTTCCCAGGATCTTTTCATCTGCTAAATAATGTTCCGACACAGTAATGTCTGTGCAAATGAAAACAATCATTTTGCATGCCTTTACTAATGAAACAAAACACTAATTCTACTAGTGAGTTCTCCCATAGAGTTTCCAAATGAAACATTCATCAGAATTCAACATTATAGCAAAATCAGAACGATAATATTGACTAGGCACAATCAGACATTAATTGCTTGTCACGCCATGATGAATGTTTTTCTTTATCTATGTGATTATATCTATACACTATGCTGTAGTACTACTGTTCTGTAAGAAGAGTCTGATTTTCTGGGGTAATATGTTCATCCCTTAACAGTACGAAAAAGCCCTGTATTGATTATTTTAAATTCACAGCAGGCTTCTCCCCTGTGACTAATTGTGCATTCTGTTGTGCTTCCAGCCTCCCGTCCCTCTGCACAGCTCCTATGAATCTTTAATTCCCTTCTAACTCAGAGATGCCAGAGTCACTTTTCATCATCACGTCCACTCAGCCGAATTCCAATGATCGCCACAAAACAGAGGACCAAAATATATTTTTGAGATTGATTGTTTCACGAGCTCTATTGTTTCACCAGCTGTATTAAGAGAACATTAACTTTCATTCCACCACGCGTTCTTCCTAGCAGGTTTTCAAACAGCATTTCCTCTGATAATTTCAAATATGTGGGAGCAGGGTGGGAAAATAAAAGACCTTTCAATATCAAGAGATCCCTTGGAAAAAATCTTTCCATGAAATGGATCGTTTTTCAGTAAGTTCTTTCTTTTCAGGAAGTAGAAGTATTTCACTAAAACTGTAGTGAGAAAGATTTCTACATATATAGAGTGATTTTTTCTCCCTCTTTGATCAGCCTTATCTTTAGTGGTCGTAACATTTCATTTATTATTTAGTTATGCTGCTTTTTCTCCCCCATGTTTTGATAGAATTTTTCAACTGTATTGTATTTATATTTTACATGAATGAATCATGTCCATTAACTTTCTTTTCTATATTCAGATAAGACTTGTTGTTGCTTTCCTTACAGTTGCATTGTTTTTTCCTTTGCGATGAAGTGCAGGAGCAACGTGATTTTTACATCCATTTGCTATATCTTTGAAACCAATAATTTTTAATATGACAACTTTAATTTTCACAATGCTATTATCATCTCCTCAGTATTATTTCTGAAAACAGTAAAGCTGGAAGGATGCAGCGTAACTTTACAGAGCGATATATGCAGCTGGTGGAGGCCTCACAGGCAGCAGGAAAACCAAAGTGAGAGGAGAACGCCAAAGGGAGAGCAAACCCTCAGCGAACCCATGGCTTCATTCAGGCTGGATGGCCCGGGGTGAGACACAGCAGACAGCTTCAGCGACCCCAGGAGAATTGCTGGCGAGTCACAGGCCCCTTCCCAGAAAGGCAAATGAGAAGCTCCTGCTTCTGGTGTGAGGAGCGGGCACCTTCCCCGCTGGCTCTGGCAGCTGAGCCGCAGGGGCTATGGGGGCTGATCCCCTGTGCTCAAACCCCACAGCACGTACACCAGTGTGTGGATGTGATATAGGCAGCAGAGGGAAACTTGCAGGAGGAAAGCACAACATTCCAAACATTTCTAGTGCAAGGTAGCCTGCCCTCATAAACAGATTCAAAGCCTTGTTCCTTCCTTCTTTCCCGTTAACTTGTTTCTTTTCCTATTTGTCTACAGAAACGACCAGTTCAAGCCGTTATACCTAGCTGTATCAAGAACACACAAAAGAAACACACAGAATGCTGTACCCACTGACTTATCCCACACCTGAGATTAAAATCAGAAACAAATCTCATTGTTCCTTCAACATTTCCTTAGATGTTTTTAATATAGCTGCAGCTAATAAACAAATTTTTAGATATGGGGCAGTGGACCCTGAAAGCATGGTCTGACCAGATGGGTACAAGCATAGAGACAAATCAGTAATTCAAGATAAATGAGGCTTCATGGCCCCTGTAGGAAACGAGTGACAGATCTCATGCTCAGAGCATTAACATGACATAAATTCAAAAGACTGGAAATTTATGTGGACCGTTAACACTGCACACATGTGCACAAACACATGCAATTTCTTAATCAGTCCTGGCTCGATTTCCATGTACCAGCCCCAGGTCAGGAAGGGTGAATGCTTGCAATCAATATCCAGTTGTTAGAGTAACAGCCATGTCGGTTCTGGATGGCTGAGTGGGTGAAAACATGTTTGTTCTACTTAATGTGACACAGTCCCGTCAAATTAACAACCACGATGGCAGGAGCAGGCTTGCTTAATGGGCTGAAGTCAGTTCCACAGAGGATTTATTATCAACACTCAACCAATAGATCCGAAACCTCATTACTAAAGGTTTATTTGCCGATAATAACTGAAGGCACACTTTATGTACATAGGCATTGTCTGATTTTAAAGATACAGCACGCTACACCGCTCAGCAAACAGACTGCCTCTGAACTGCCATAACCTCGAGGTAACACCACACCTGTATGTCAGCTGGGTGCTGCAGTTATTTAGCCACCTCCTTGCCTGGTTAAGCTACAATAGGTGCTACCCTTACACATGCAAACAGTTCCTTTTTTCTGCTGAGTTCCTGTGGGGACTGTACAGGACATGCAGACCCCAAGAAGCAAGCCCTAAGCAAGGGCTGAAGCAGCAGCTGGGGCACCCAGTGCCCAGGCAGAGCAAGCACCTGGCAGTCACCCATGGCCCGAACCAGCTCCATGCCTTGGAGCCACAGAGCCACCGCAGGCACCTTCTGGCAACCAGGTGACCATGTTCCCTTCTCCTTTCCAACCCTATGACACTAAAGCTTGGTGGATACAGGCAGCAGAGCTAATCACAGCCATTCAGAAAAACTCTTTCTAACCAGATATGGTTGGAGTTTATCTTAATAGATAAATTTCTCTTACCAACACTCAAAAAAGTGTTGGTGTATCAAAAAGTGTATCAAAAAAGATAAATTTCTCTTACCAACACTCAAAAAAGTGGGAGAAAAAGCTCAGCTTCTCTGTTAATTGAGTTGTACACAGGGAAGGATTTCTTTTTACCTGACTGAAGTGGTGGATAGAGAACTCTGGAAAGGGCTTTCATCCACACTACCACAGCGTCCACATTATAAACACTCCTATTAGTAGCTGGGGTAGGAATCAGGGTTTTCAGTTTCCCCAAACAAGCATCCTCCCCCATCAGGCAGGCAGCACGTGCCCTTGCCCATGGGAACAGCAAGGTGAAGCCAGTGATGGATGTTTGCAGGATGGCTTCGTTCTTCCCATGGGGCAGCCACGGGCAGCCTGGCTCTGAGGCACCCCGAGCATTTTGCTGCCCTCTGGGACTTGTGCTTGGCTGTCACTTAGAGCCAGCCCCGAGCAGCCCTTGTGCAAAGGGCAGTCTTACATAGCTTACGGCCTTGCCTATTCCTGGCTGATTTCCACAGGGAAATCAAAATTCGGCAGATTGCAAGATTAATTCCCTGCCATGTTTCAAAAACATACTGTTAACTACAGAAAAGCTTAAAAATGCATAAGGGAAGGCTTAATATTAGTGAACCCCCATCTGACATTGCTCCCAATAGTTTTCATTTCTGTTTCTAAAAATTGTAGCTTGAATTAGTAAACCAACACTAAAAAATCAAGCAAAATTAAGTTTTAATGAAACAATTAGTTTATGAGAAGATGTAATAAAGGAAAATGTTAGTCCAACATATTACTTTCTCCTGTAAGTAGACTTGAAGCAAGTGTTTCACTGAAAGTATTCAACAGAAATCCATCCAAATTGTTCCACAGAAAAAAAAAATATTTTAAGTTCTTTTTAATTGTTCTTATTCTAACAAGAGGTTCTGTTTTCCATAGAGTGGTCACAATTTGAGCTGAAAGCTGAGCAGCTTGAAAATGGACTTATTTTGGCTGCAGCTGAACATCCTCTGACTATGAAATGCTGCCACCAGAGAATTCCAGGCAGAATGGAGAGTGCCAGTGCTTACGAGGAAGATGAGACAGAAAGGCAGAGCTCACGGTTACCTCGTGGCTCCATGGTTGTCCCAATTTCTTTATATATTGGTGCCAAACTGCTAAAATATTGCACTTAGGCAATGTCTGATAAAACAGGTATATTTCTGAAAGCTTAAAAAAATTAAAAAAAAAACACTAAGGTTTAAGAATATTTAACCTACATGTCTCACTTGCATAGTTTGTGTTTCAAGCAAATAATTTGTTAAAAATACAATTATGTATGATAAAAAAAATCAGATGAATCAATCAAATTAATCAGTCAAAGACTGGCAGTATCGTGAATTCACCCTTAAGAACAATGAATTAAGAAAAGCTAATAAAGCTCTATTTAAGAAATAAAGATAATTATTCTAACATTTAGCAGAACTCTCTAAGGATTTTTCTTTAAATTTTCCCTGTTAAAACTTCTTGTGTCTCCTAAATCCCAATTTAATTATCTCTCTGCTTGCCAGACCCTGGAAGACATGCTTGAGTCTGTTTTATTCAATTTATATTTGTCTTGGAGTTTTGCAACAACACACACACACACTATCTTGTCCACTGGGGAGCTACCAATACTGCCCACTGCATTTGAAGAAAAGACAGACAGAAGAAAAAGAAAATGAAGAAAAAACAACAACAAAACACCATCAACAACAACAAAAAACACATTAATTTCTCTGATTTGGGACTGATTGTGTGAACACAGAGAGGTGGGTACAGCTCATGCCTGCATTTTGGAGTTGGCTTTCATGGTTGAAGTGTAACTCACATCTAACAGACTGTGGCTTCATACATCTCATGCTAAAATTCCAATTCATCAGGAATTCATTTAGGTTAATTAAAGATTTAGGAAGGTGTACACAGAGGAACATTCCGGACCTCCGGACCTGGGGCAACATCCTGACCTTACGAGCTCAGTCAGATTTTGTTACCAATTTAGGTAGGAAAGGATTCCCATCTGGATGGTCTCCCATTTTCTCTTCTTGTGACCACCCTCATGGTGGCCACATGGTGCCAAGCATCATAGCAACAGCAGTCTGTTATTAGAAATTGATGAATTAAGCTGAGGCCTTCAAACAGCTTTGTCACCAGGTAAAAAAAGCACACCTTCGGATTTCATCACAAAAATGAATGATGGAGCACAAAGTGCTACAAAATGGGCCATGAGGGTATCTGTTTTGGAGAGAAGGGAGCAAAATGCCTGCTATTCTGTGACATGTGGCAGAACCTTTTTTTATAGAGATGACAGATACTTGGATGCCTCTACCTGGTAGTAAAAACCTCTGAATCTATCGGTGCCGATGAATCAGCCAGAAACAAGACAGAACCATACCAAAGTCTCCTTGAAAAAGAGAAGGCATAGGGAGAGCTATAAGAAAATAGTCTGTAGGATAAGAGAACAAAGAGCATAAAATTCATGTGCCTGAAAAGTCAGTAATTTTACATATTTTCCTTTTGATGTTAGCAAAATATTTATTTACAGTATGTCTAAAGTGGGATTGGCTGCATTATGGAAAGCACAGCCAGAAGGCCAAAGGAGATGATGATCCCTGCTCTCTGCTCAGGATGGGTGAGACACAACTGGAGCGCTGGGTCCAATTCTGGGCTCTACTGCAGAGACATGCAGCAAGTCCAGGGAAGGGAGACAGACACGACAGAGGGAGGGAGCTTCTGCCTTGCAAAGAAAGCTGACAGCTTGGGCTCTCTAGCCTGGAGAAGGTGCCTGGGATATTTCATCAATGTCTGTAAGTGCTGAGTGCTGGGGGAAAAAAGTAGATTGACCTCGATGCTTCTTGCCAGTGCCCAGTGAGAAGAGAAGAGGCAACGGAAGGAAACTGAAACACAAGAAATGGCATTTACATTTAGGAAAGATCCTTCATGCTGTGTGGGTGGTCCGACACTGGAAGAGGTGGTACTCCCTGGACGGATTCACAGGCTGGATGGACAAGTTCCTGCTGCAGCTCACCCTGCTCTGAGCGGGGCCTTGGGCTGGACGACTTCCACACTCAGCTGTTCGGTAATTCTGAGACTTTGAAGGGTAAATGTTTACAAGAACCCTTCTGCACAAATGTCACTGCAGGAAGGAGGCTTGCACCAGATGGAGGCTGCATCATGCTCAGTCCAAGTCCCGAATTTAACTGGTCCTGGGCTCAGAATCTCCTGTCCCATGGAAGAAGTTGTCTGCCCCGTAACTCAACGGAGATACAGAAACTCCCACAGTGCAGAGGATGGTAGGGCAGCACAAAAGAAAGTTGGATTAAGTAAAATGGGTAGGGGTTATTTGTAAAGGAATGTCTTTGACACATTTCTGTAAGTATCCACCTGCCTAGAACACCCAGGAAATACATCTAATTAAATTAATTCTAATACAGAAAAGATTTGCCACTGACTGTTATTTTTAGCATATTAGACTGTAATTGTTTAGTTATTTGTTCTTTCATATATCCTTCTAAAGGCTTGCTTCCTCTCTTGGCTGCTTCAAATCAAAATGAGGTTAAAAATGTCACAGCTGTGTATTAAGAGCAGAGAGCACAGGTGCAGATCAGTTTCATCAGTCACCCAGGACAATATTCTGGCCCATAATCCACGGATTCATTGAATGTTGGCAGGAGATAGAAGGGGGAGATGGAGGCTGTACATATGTAAAAGAGGGTACTCAGAACAGACAGCTGCCACCTTTAGATAGATGCACAGCATCAGAGAAAACCAAGACAATGCAATGTATCTTAGGACATCAGTGCTTAAGAGAAGGAGCTCTTAAGAACCCCATCTTCAGCCGTGAATGTAAATCATTTTCTCAAAACAAAACAAAACAAACAAAAAACACAACACCAATAAAAAAACACTTTTTGCCTTCCTTAGTATCCTGACTTATGCATTGGAGAGGTGAAAAGCAAGAGCTGTAGCCAAGCAACAATAAATAATCTTTAAGACTCCCGTTTTCAAAGCAAAACAGAGCCGCAAGCTGCACCACACCATCCGTCCTTCACCAGCACAGGCAACTCCCAGCACTGCCTCCACACAAACAAGCACAAGCCTTTGTGTTTTTTTGTGCCTCCAAACCACCTAAACAGGATTTATGAACAGATTAAGCTCTTTTAACATATTTGGAAATTCTTCCTTTCATCAGAATATCACAAGGCTGACAAGTGAACTGCTAGGAAACACAGTCTGCTCACGCTGGAAGCACTTTAGATAAACACAGACAAAACTTTTGTGCAGATTCATGTACACTTCCCCTGTGCAGTAAAGCTTGGCCTGTACAACTAATTCATTTGCCAGTTTCCTTGAAATGCATTTTAAAAAATAATTTTAAAAAGGTTAAATTGTCAAAAGAGAAAAGTCTTGATACTGTAAAACTTTGAGTTTTAGATTTGAAGTCAGTTAAGTAATAGAAAGTAAAAGAAGTAAAGAAATGAAGTAAAAGAAGACACGGTGGCAAGACTGGAAAAACCATGTTTGTTCCCTCCTTGCATCTTCTCTTTCTTTTTGGCCGGAAGAGCTAAACAAAAGGACATGCGAAGACACAAAGCGTTTGCAGATGTCCATTTGTCAGAAATAGATACTAACATTTTCTGCTCAGCTCTAGTGCAGTCTTACTCTTGCCTCTCTATGCAGGAATGGCTTTGTTTTCCTAGCAGGCTCTATTCCTGGCACTGTTCTTTAAAAAATGTCCAACAGAAATAGTTTCAGAGAGGTTACGGAGCATTACCCGTTAACCTCTTGGCTCACCAAAATGAAACACGAACTATTTCCCATTTAGCAGCCATCAGTTCTGCTGGCAAGACATTGCTCTTCCCCTCCCCATGGGAGCAAGGGCCTTGGGAGCACACCCAACGCTAACGCTTCTGAAAAAGATGGTCACCTTCCCTCGCCTCAGCTTCCTTGTCTGCAACTTGGAGGGCAGTAACGATGTGAATTGTACGTGGCATTGAGACCTGTTGATGACGAGATGGGATTATATACAGCTCTGTCTAGCAACAGGCCAGGGGAGTGTCTTCTCCCCAGCCTCAGGTGAGTAGGGGACACACAGAAACCGCAAGGGATGCTTCCTGGTAGCAGTGTGTAAGTGCCTCTCACCATTATCAAACTTCTAAGTGGGAAAATAAATATCTGGAATTCTCAAACAGTAATTTTTATATTTTTCCTACACATTCAAAGCTGTTATGTACTTTCCAGGTCACCTTTCCTTTCAGTTGAGGAAAGGCAGGAAGACAGGCAGGGAAGAAATAATCACTGAATATTAATTTGCAAAATAACTGCCTTGGTTTTTAACATGCGGACTCTGAAATGGGTGCAAAATAGCAACTGCTTCCAGAGAAGCACACTCCTATAAAGAAGTTAATGCACAGACACACGCACAAGCATAGCAGTGAGGTAGATCACATACTATAAACGTTTTTTTTTGCCGCTTTTGATGCTGAAACAGTTACGTTGCTTTGACTATGTTTTGGCATTTGCCACTAATAAGTGAATTGTTATTTGATGCTCAGTACAGTCTGAGTTATACTTGACTCAACAGTTTGCCATAATAACTTCATCAACTGCTGTTTGGCATGTTCCTTCTCCCACAATTTACTTGTAAGCAACTCCGTATGTCACAACACATTCAGCAGGCAATTATAACAGGAACATCATAAAACCCACCGCTACGATGAATGTGTTATTCTCAGGGTTTTAGTCAAACCAAGTAAATGTTGTTAAGAGAAATCTGACATGAAAGGCATTTTTTCTTGTTTAAATACTCTCCCGAAGGGCTGACACAACTTTTCACTGGAAGGCAATCTGATGAATGGCAAGCCAGCAACTTAATTGAACTGGAGATATAAAATTTGGTATTGTCAGATATGCAGCTTTAGCGAAGTCACAGCCAACCTCCGTATTACCTCGCATAATCACTTGTAAGATGTCTCAGGTGAAATCCCTCTTAACCTTCAGAGATAAGAGAAAATTAGAACTAAAGGATACTGCTGTAGATTTGTGTGTACCTCTCTGTCTTGGGTTTCAATCAATTTAAATTGATTTCATGAAAGGTGTGTGGCAAGCTCTTAGCATGTGCCAGTTCTCTTTGATTAGATTTACTCTGCCCTGGTATGGCCTTCTTTTCTTTTGCAGTTGCCTTTTTGGAATATTTTGCAAACAGAAAATAATTCATGGTGAATAATCTACTTGACAAATTTAGGCAACAGAGACAGAAACCACACAAGGACAAAAGAGTCTGTCTTTTGGGAGCAAACAGGAGAACTGGGGCATAAATATATCTCTTTGCAGCAAATTTATGCACAGACCTGTAAGTGTGCTCATCATCTGAAAGTACAGACCGTTCAATGCAATTTGCTATGATCTACCAGTACAACATTCAATGCAAAAAATAATCT